AGGCAGAGGCAGAGGCAGAGGCAGAGGCAGAGGCAGAGGCAGAGGCAGAGGCAGAGGCAGAGGCAGAGGCAGAGGCAGAGGCAGAGGCAGAGGCAGAGGCAGAGGCAGGCAGTGAGTTTGAGACCAGCCTGGTCTATAAGAGCCAGTTCCAGGACAGGTTCCAAAGCTACAGAGAAACCTGTCTAGGAAAAAAAAAAGGAAGAAAACCAATTCATTATGTTGACATCACTTTGATGGGACTTTAGCCACTGGGCCGTTCAGCAGAGGGTTTTAACCGCATTCCTGTGAAAGAGAACCAGGCAGAGACAGAGGAGGGACGGGCTGGCAACCTGACCAACAGGAAAGCAGCGCTGGCTGATGAACTTGAACGCTGGCTCTAACGAGTCATCCTCCACCAGGTGAGATCAAGCTGGAGATGCCCAGCATCAGTGTGGAGGGGGAAGTGTTCGAGCTGGTGGCCAGCACAGAAATGGTGGAGTCTTTGGAGCAGTGTGTGATCAACTGGCTGAGCCAGATTTCATCTGCTCTGGAGAGCCAGCTGAAGAAGACGCCCCAGGTAACCTGTCCGGGGCCTGCAGCCCACCAGCCCAAGGAAGGTCTCCAGGAGAGCCGGTGTCTCTCTCAGTGTGCGACTCCCCTAAATGATGCTGGTGGGACGAGGGCTGTCTCCTTAGACTGCTTCCTCTGCATCAGTGATATGTAGTTTCTGGCCCTGTGGGCACCACCAGGAAGGGCAGGATCCTCGTCTTGCATTCCCTAGAGTCCTGAGATCGACTGATTGGACCATGCCAGATGAGAACTCCACCCAGAAGCCCTGTACTGACCAGCCTGCCCGGAGCAGGTGGAAAAAGGGTGGGCACTGTAGAAATGCCCACAGGTGTCCACCCACTGTAACAGCAAGCGCTGTCTGTGTGCTCCTGTCTCTCCCAGGGCAATGGTCCTCTGGCTGAAATTGAGTTCTGGAGAGAAAGAAACGCAACGCTGAGCGCCCTCTATGAGCAAACGAAGCTTCCGTTCGTTAGGAAGGTCTTGGATGTGATCAAGGAAGCTGAATCCATGCTCACGGCCAATGTGCAGCCTGTCCTGACGGAGCTGTTCAAACTCCACATGGAGGCCTCGGACAATGTGCGCTTTCTGTCCACCGTGGAACGTCACTTCAAGGTATGGAGGGTGGGCTGCGCCCTGGAAAGCCAGCCCTGTGAGGGGCACGGCATGGATGCCACTTTTAAAATGACACTGGGATGCTGGCGTAGTGGGGTTCAGCTGGAAAAGTACCTGCCTAGCATGCACAAAGGGCTGCGCTCCACCCGAAGGGCCGCATTAGCCCTGTTGCTGGTGCCTTGGGAGGTGGAGGCAGCAACATCAGAAACTCAAGGCCATTCTTGGCCACACTGTGAATCTGAGGATAGCCTGGGCTTTACTGAGTCCTTGTCTTTTTTTATTCTTTTTTGTTTATTTGTTTGTTTAATTAAGACAGAATTTCCTCATGTAGTTCTGGCTGTCCTGGAACTCACTTTGTAGACCAGGCTGGTCTCAAACTCAGAGATGCTTCTGCCTCTGAGGGCTGGGATTAAAGGCATTCGCCACCACTGTTCAACTGAGTCCTTACCTTTAACAAACAAAACAATAACAAACTACTAAATAATTCAAGATTTTTTTTAAATACTGGAAATTGAACTCAGTCTTGTACACACTAGGCAAATGTTCTATCCTAGCTTAAATCGTATCATCAAAAGCTGCGTGCAGTGGGGGGCAGAGGCAGGGAGCAGATCTCTACAGAGTGAGTCCCAGGACAGCCAGGGCTACACAGAGAAACCATGTTTCAAAAACAAACCAACCAACCAACCAACCAACCAACCAATCAACCAACCAATCGGTCAGTCAATAAATAAGTAAAGCCCTTGTCTTTGTTGTTTGTTGTTTGTTGAGACAGAATTTCTTTGTGTAGTCCAGGCCAATCTGAAACTCACTCTGTAGACCAGGCTGGCCTTGAACTCACAGAGATCCTCCTGCCTCTGCCTCCTGAGTGCTGGGATTTAAGGCGTGCGACACCACTGCCTAGCTGTTCTTGAGTTCTTAATCTTTTATTACTTTTTATTATGTGTGAGTCTATGCGCACAGGAATGCTGGTGCCCACAAGAGGCTCTGGCCTGGAATTAGAGTTACAGGCAGTTGTGAGCCACGTGACATGGTGCTGGGAATTGAACTCAGGTCCTCCGGTGGTGAAGTGCATGCTCTTAGCCCCTGAGCCATCTCATAAATCTCATAAATCTAGCCCCTGCAGATTTATCTTTTATGATTTCTAGTTATGCTCCCGCGTTTTTGTCTTCATGAGCATAACATGCTGTGCTGTGGTTTGAACGGAAGTGTCTCCCATGGGGGTGCGGCACTGGGTTCTGTGAGGTTCTGGAACCTTCAGGTGGTAGAGGAAGTAGGCCATGGGGTGGGAGGGTGTTGTCCTCGTGGGGCTTCTCTCTGTTCCTCTGCTTTCCGGCTGGCCGGAAGTGCACAGCTCAGTTCCACCCCTCACTTCCAGGACGCATGTCCTCACCTCTTGTTTTTAATCACGGAGTAACGATACCAACTCAGAAGGCTGAATCCGAGGTTCCTCGTCAGCTCTGCCATGTGTCAGTTTCCCAGGTCGCTGCCTGTGGCGGCCGGCGACAGTCTTGGTAGCAGGTCACACAACGACACAGAGACAACTGTTGACTGTGAAATCTTGGCCTTAGCGCAGGCTTCTTTCCAGCTAAGCTCCCAACCTAAATTAACCCATTTTTATTAACCTACGTTCTGCCATGTGACTTGTTACCTTTCCTCAGTTACCATGCATCCCACTTCCTCCGCGTCTGACTGGCGAATCCCACCTCTCTTCCCAGAGTTCCTATATCTTCTGGGAAGTCCCACCTATCCTCCCCTGCCTAGCTATTGGCTTTTCAGCTCTCTGTTAAACCAATCAGAAGGTTCCTTGGCAGAGACACTTCTTCACAGTGTACAAAAAGTTTATCCCGCAACAACTCTGACCAAAAGCAATGTAGGGAGGAGAGGGCTTCTGTGGCTTACACTTGCTGACCACAGTCCCATCCCTGCAGGAAGTCAGGGCAGGAACTGAAGCAGAGACCATGGAGGAGCTTGGCTGTCCGCCTCACTCTTTGCTCAGTCAGCTAGCTTCCTTCATTTTAAATCTTTATGTTAATTTTTTATGTGTATAGCTGTTTTGTCTGCATGTATTTCTGTGTACTATGGGCACGCCTGGTCCAGCCCGCAGAGCCCAAAAGAGGCTATCAGATCCCCTGGGGCTGAGGTTATAGGTGTTTGTGAGCTGCCATGTGGGTGTGGGAATCAAGCCAAGATTCTCTGAAGATTAGCCAGTGCTCTTAACCCCAATGTCATCTCTCTAGCCCTCCAACTCTCTTCCTTATATAGTGCAGGCCCATCTGCCTAGGGATGGTGCCACCTACAGTTGGCTGATCAATCCCTCACATATCAATGATCAACTAAGACAATTCCTCAGACAAGGCCACAGGCCAGTCTGATCGAAGCAGTCCTTAAATTGAGGCTTCTTTAGATGACCCTAGGCTATGTCAAGTTGATAGCTGCCATTAATTAGGACAGTCACTGCACTGTGTACTGGTGTGCGATTGTTTTCTTGATTAAAAACCCCTGTTTCCCTTTTAATGGTCAGGTCAGGGTTTGGCAAGGGCTCCACAGAGACATTCATCTTGCCTCCCAAGGCATCCATTGGGTGACTGGGTAGCATATCCCCTTCTAGAATGGCTGTCTTTCTTGCATGCTCCTTTCTGCCTGGGTGTCCTTGGCTTCCTTCCACATGGAGGCTCAGAGCCAGGGCCTCTCCAGGAGAATTGCTCACCTCCCAGCCCTCTGGTTTCAGGGTAGCAGAGTGGCCACACTCCTCCATCTTAATTTAGTTCTAGAGGACAAATAAACAACTTAATAGTTGTGCTCGGAAAAGCACACTACCCTAGTGTGTGTGTGTGTGTCTGTGTGTGTATCTGTATGTGTGTCTGTGTGTGTCTGTGTGTATCTGTGTGTGTGTCTGTGTGTGTATCTGTCTGTGTGTCTGTGTGTGTATCTGTGTGTGTGTCTGTGTGTGTCTGTGTCTCTATGTCTGTGTGTCTGTGTGTGTATCTGTGTGTGTGTGTGTATACTCTCATGTATAGACAGTGAGTCCTCATCTACCAATTTAACTAACATCAGATAAAGAATATATTTGGGGAAAACACCAGAGCTGTTTTGCCATTGTCCCCTAAGTTATCCAGTGTGGCAATCCAGAGGGCTTTCTCCCTCATTTCAGGCGTTCCCCAAAGTCATCTAGGTAGTGTATCAGTGAACCCAGGCATGGTGATGCTCCTGTCTTCCTCAGGGTTTTTAGTGCTGTGAAGAGACACCACGACCACAGAAATTCTTATAAATAAAAGGAAGCCATTTAGTAAAAGGAAACCACTTAATTGGCTTGGCTTACAGTTTCAGAGGTTTAGTCTGTTATCTTCATGGTGGGAAGCATGACAGTGTGCAGGCAGACATGGTGCTGGAGAAGGAGCTGAGAGTTCTGTCTTGATTGGCAGGCAACAGGAAGTGAACTGTGTGCCACACTGGGCATAGCTTGAGCATAAGAGACTGCAAAACTCACTCCCGGGAGCCTAGGCAGTTTGGATGCTCACCTTACTAGACCTGGATGGAGGTGGGTGGTCCTTGGACTTCCCACAGGGCAGGGAACCCTGATGGCTCTTTGGGCTGACGAGGGAGAGGGACTTGATTTGGGGAGGGGGAGGGAAATGGGAGGCGGCGGTGGGGAAGAGACAAAAATCTTTAATAAATAAATAAAAAGATTAAAAAAAAACCCTCACTCCCACAGTGGCATGCTTCCTCTAACTAGGCCACAACTTCCAACAGTGCCCCTCCCTGGGGGAAGCATTCTCTTCCAAACCACCAAAGCACTCCTAGCCTCCTAGTACTCAGGAGGCTGAGACAGAAGAATCCAGACTGTCAGGCCAGCCTGTGCTACATAGTGAGATCCTGTCTCAAATAAACAAATAAACAAGAAAACAAAAACTGTGCAGGACCAGATATGGTGGTGCACACATGGAATCCCAGTACTCGGAAAATGGAAGAGAGAGGGTCAGGAGTTGAAGGTTGTCCTCTGCTACGTAGTAATTTTGAGGCTAGCCTGGACACCCTGTTTAAGAAGTCGAGAGAGGGACTTTGTCCTAAGAGTTTCCTTCAGTCTGAAAAGAGCTTTTTCCTGAAACAAGCTCATTCTCTCAGACTCTAAGTGGACCTGTCTTTTGAGGGTCGATATTCATTCCATCTGAGGAGCTCCGAATGAGGCACTTTGGGAGCCGCCGGTTACCGTCCAGCCATGGCCAAGTCCAAGTCCAAGAACCACACCACACACAACCAGTCCCGGAAATGGCATCAAGAAACCCCGGTCATGGGGCTGGAGAGCATTGCCTGCTCTTCCAAAGGTCCTGAGTTCAATTCCCAGCAACCACATGGTGGTTCACAACCATCTGTAATGGTGCCCTCTTCTGGCCATGAGTGCACCATCAAGGCCCAGGTGAAGCCCCAGGTGGTGAAGCAAACTCACCCGTCTGGCTTTAATTGCTCACCCCAAGCTTGGGAAGCGGATTAGAAGCTACATGGCCAGGGGTCGTAGGCTCCAAAAAACAAAGCTCAAGGTTCAAGCCAAGGCAGAGGCCTCAGCTGCCAACACTAGCAAAGAAAACAGCCCTAGTCACCACTACCCTATTTTATGGATGGAGTTGTGTGCTCGTAGGACTCAGCCTTGAAGAGCTTAACAGAGGCCCAAGTCTGAGATGACCCAGGCACCACCCAGGAACAGAGCATCCAAAGGAAATCTCTAACGTTCCAACCATTGTAGATAGGATCGCCTGCCAGCACACACCCATCGCTTTCCACCAGGACACCCCTAGACAAATGTCAGTTAATCAGGGGTCCTGAACCTTAGAAATCCCTCACCCCCACCTTTGCTACTACAAAAGCTCCGACCACTCCAATATGTTGGACACATGGAGAGACAGAGTTTGCAAACTTGTGTAAGAATAAAGGCTCTGTGGCTCTCACCTTTAATCCCAGCACTCGGGAGGCAGAGGCAGGTGGATCTCTGTGAGTTCGAGACCAGCCTGGTCTACAGAGCTAGTTCCAGGACGGGCTCCAAAGCTA